CACTCAAATGTTACTGCGATTCGGAACGAAGTTGAATGCCTGGCCTATCCTAAGACGCCCTCTCGAACGCGGCCCTTTATTTTCCCCAAACTTGAACTCTAGCAGGGATTGGAAATCAGTACTAGTACGTTTAGAGAGAACCTGAACGCAGCTCTTTTGTGACCATTCGAGTTTCATGGAGAGCTGCCTTAAAGTCAGGCCATTTTCCTCAGCAAGCTGTCCATATTACGAGTGATTAATAGCGCTATCGCAAGATGCGGGGGCTTCTTCTAGAACTAAGCCTTGAAGGAGACAAGAACTTCGGGAAGTGTGAAAATTGCTTAGCACCCTGTCGTCTCTTTTCCTTTGCCCGACTTAGTCTCGCTTCAGCACGAGGGAGATGTTTTACGCGGTTTTAATTGCACTGCCAGAACCATGCCCTCCTATTTTGCGATAGCGCTTGATTACTTTTTGACGGAAATGGTGTAGTGGCAAGTGGCGCTGCTGACCACGCGCGCTTCCGGGGATCGAATCCTGGATCGTGCGCGTTCCAGGCTTACCGAATGGTCCATTCCCAGTGTTGGTAAATAGTTAATGATTTGTTGGGGAGGGCAAATGCTCTGACTTGTACATCGGCTGCCCTCCCCCCCCTCCCCCCGCCACACATTGCAGATGACAAACCGCATTCAGAGTTCTGTTTAAAAGTGGAATACGTGGCGTAACCAAGCAAAAGGGATGGATCAACGCCGAATACTCTAATTTCATGGTATTTTTTACAAAAAACTGATCATGAGACAAAATAAATACTTCTTTCTTTGCAAGTTACTTATTCCTAAATTACCTATTCACTGCATCTACGATTCTGAATGGGAGTGGAGGACGTGGCTTATCCTGAAGCTGACTACTGTGGTTGTTTGTTCCAAATAGTTGGCCCAACACTTCCTAAGGGGTTCATGTCAACAAATGGAAAAAGCTTTTCACCGCTTCTGCCAGCTAACGAGGCCCTCAACTAAGAAGCTGCGGCTACAGAGAGACGGACCGCTTCATTAGCGACTTTGGCCGGCTTTTCTTCAGCTATTCGCCACGAATAGCCACTCTCGTTAATGGCATCCTCTCGACGAAGACAAAACTTATGCAATTAGAGGATGAAAGCGACGAAAGAACCTAACTAGAAGCGAGATTCCTTATCTTCAAATTAGTGGTCCCGAAATTCTCTGAAAGCCTTCGTGGCCAACAATTAAGTGCATTCGTTAAGAACTGAACTAATTCCCACCAAAGAACTTCATTTACAGTAATCCCAGATGAATTGTGTTGTTCGCGTTAAAAGGGTTTCTTTTAAGGTATTGCAGCCGCTGAGGGAACCGAATTAGACGAGAGTGGCCTTGAGAAGAGGAAACACGAGTATCTCCGATTCGGAAAGAGAAAGCACGAGTACCTGCGATTTGGCAAGAGAAAGCACGAATATCTGAGGTAAGCGAAACAATCTGAGCAATTGTTGGATCTACTAGGAAGTGATCCCGTGAAGCAGATCTTTGAAGAGTGAACGCCTTCCAGGTGCTTTTGGATGGGATTTAGAACATTCTGCCAAAGCAAGAGCCTCAAAAAGCACATATTAAGTGACTCGCTTCCCCCCCCCCCACTCCTAGGTTACCTACACTTTTCCTGGCTCGGGAGTTACCGTAGCTTTCAGGAAAAACTGCATCATGATGCCCCCTAACTGGAATAGACCCGGCATATGATACGGATAAAGCTGTCAAAGACTTGCTCACCTAGCGAACTTTTATCAATCTATCGAATTATCTAGCAACCCAGAGGATAGCAACGCTAGTCACAACAAACACTAGGATATAATCCACAAAATTTACAGATCAACTAAAAAACCAAGGGTCAATTTAAGCATAGTTCTTTCCATTTTCGAATCGCTTTTTGTCAGTCAGTCATTCCATTGGCCCGTTTAAAAGCACAACCCAGGCAAAACTCTCGTGAACTGCTCCATTCGGTTTTTAGTTTGACCTCTGCGGTACAATCACTAATCGTAAGGTTTCACTCCTGTGCATGGAATCGCCCAACAAAAGCAGTGGAGCTTTGCAAAGACAGCTCAACAGCTTCAGTTTTTCCTCCCATTGCAGGCTGTTGTCTACCGCCCTCTCATCTGCTGTGCTCTCTCGCCTCATACTCTCCTCTCCGCGATCAGTCTCTAATTCCCTTAGCACAGCCACCCTGTTAAGGGAGTGAACCTTTAAGTCAGACGTTTTCCACAGATTTTTCCTTCTTTAACTGATGGCCCATTTTGAACCAATACTTTCATATTTGTGTGCATGGACCACACCAGTTTTCCTGGCATGGCTTCGAGACACACTTTACTGGGGAGTCGCTAAAGAATTGAACGAGCTTTGCGATTCTGACTATCTGACTACAACTGGTTTCTACCCTTGCTTACGATAGGCCGTATTACACAAAGGTCATAACCATTTCTTCCACATTCTCTGTTAAAGGGTACCGCACGTCTCAAGTGAGTAGGATTAGGCTGACAGAACCCTCCTGGACGCAGAAAACCTGTTTCCATGTTATCCCTTGGTGAAATCTCGGCAGTATTTGTCGAAAATGTGTTATTCTCCTATACGAATTTATCTTCAATCCTACCGAAAAAGGTCGACACTTTGGGCCAATAAATAAACGGGCCAACTATCATCCTCGATTGGCAGAAGAATAACACGGCGCTATCAAAAGTTACGGGGCAACCCCTTGAAATAAGCTTAGGATTGGCAGGAACGTCGGGGAAAATGGAACCTGCTTACGCACCCTTGGATTTCTCCTTCTCTGCTTAATATTTAGCCCTGATTTCTGCGAAAAAGTGATGTTTTACACTTTTTAAGTTCACTATCACCTTAGTCCCCCCATCCTGCAACAGCGCCAATAGCACAATTCAAAACCAAGTTTGTTTTCAAAGCAGCGGCGATTGAAGTAACAGCGCGAATTCAGAGAAGTTGAACTCTAAAGCCCATAGACCAGTGGAGAAAGAACCAATGCATAACATATGGCTGGAACACTGCAAAGAATTCTGTAAATATACAATTCCTTCACTGAATAGTTACGGGACGCTGAGGAGGCTCCCCCTCCATATCCCTCCATATAAATAACAGGTTTCGAAACTGTAACAGTATTTTATCAGTATAATTGAACGAATTTCAGGTTCGGAAAGAGAAAGCACGAATATCTGCGTTTCGGGCGCAAGTAGACGGTGCAACAGACTACGGTGAACGTCGTCGACTCTACGAAGTCTCTTGATTTTTGTACTTACTTTATTTTTGTCATACTATAGAACATAAACGCGTCTGTTGTCCTTATGTTTTACGCGAGCACTTCAAGTGCTGTGAAGTGATAAAATTCTTATTTGAGCTTCAATCACACAAGTTTACTACATTTGAATTATTGACACGATGCGATTAAAGGGTTCGCAACATAGAGCGAACTAATTGAAGTTATAACCCGTCTCAAAAAATATTAGGTGAATAAGAACACTCGGAATTTGTACGATGGGCGCGTTCTGCATAGGTGCCGTTTTATCATGTCTTATCCTTAAACATTGAATTAATTCATAGACTTTGAGCAAAATTGTCTTCGTGATGCGATTTAGGCCCAGATTGATTACAAGGAAGCCTTGTTATCTACCTACAGTGGATCTATAAATCTGACTATAAAAGTGCCCACTCAAAAACTGTGTTAGGAGTTGTTATGACGGGTAGTGAGTAGTGTGGGACCGGACAGTGTCGCACTTACTGCGTGGTCTGGGGGTCAAATATTTCGAATAGAATCGGACGAAGGCGAGTAAGCCGTTACTAGGACCTCTTTGAGGGCTGGTAAATTGAAGCAAATCTGGTAGGACAACAAAAAGTTACTTGGATAATCGGGCTGGTTTTGCGAGGTCAATTGCATAGGCAAATACAATCAAAATCGAGGCGGGTCTGAAAATTTAGAGGTGGCAATGGATGCGTGGCCGCACCCCGCCCCCTCAGCCCCCAAAAGGCCGCCCAATGATAATCTATCGCCGAAAACTTCAAAGCTCTGCTATAGAATGAATGCCTCCTTTTGCTTCTACACCATTTCTGCCCTTCACTTACGGTAGAGTGTCCTGCGGAGGGTTAGGTAACAGAGGGCGAAACTCTACAATAGAGATTATTTTGGAACATGGAGCGCTTTTTTGAAATGGTTTTCTGCATGTTGTAGGGGCTCATGCGAGGAACACAGAACCATGATCCATTTTTCCTGAACGCCTCCAGGAATGT